TGTATTTCCCTTTTAATTTTTAAAACTTCAGCCAGTTTCTTTTGTATATCCAGTAAAGCATTGTTTTCCAAAACATTCTCTTGGCCTGTCATTTGTAGGTCGACATTCTCTACTTCCTCTATCTTTTCAGATAAAATTTGTTCCACATCTGTCATTCTTTTATTAACATCTTTTAGACAGTCTATCCATAGAAGCAGACATCATTACTGACAGTGTTGATATTGTAGTTAATAACTTCTGGCTCCATTCTTCAAAGATCTCCTTTAGTATTTGTGATGTTATAATGTTTTGTATCATTCTGTAACTCCCGGTATTAATTGACATCAGGCTTGTATTTTTTTTTCTTCTGCTTAAAATCTTTAGTTCCCTCTAGTGTCCAGTTTCTAAAATCATCACTTATCTTTTGTTATGACTTGCAATTGCCAGGATAACAAAAATAAGTCTGTTTCCCACAAAAACCTGTTTATACTTTACAGTTAATTCTAAAATCTTACAGCAAAAGTCAATATTCCAAATTTGTCTGGACCCTTAATCTGTTTATAACTTTCTTAGATCAAAATCTTATTTAGCTTTTTTGCTGTTTATTTCAGTTTCTTTAAGTTCTTAAGCTTGTAATAATTTTTTCGTTTGTTCAGAGTTGAAGATAAACTCACCCAATGAAGACTTTTCAAACCTGTCATTCTGAAGGGGTCTAATAGCTTTAGAATAGTTAATAGGCAATTTCTGAAAGTGATTAGAAAATTAGGTTTGCAAAGTGTCCTTTAAAAGTCTCCACCATAGTTCTGAGCAAGATGGCTGATCCCATCTCCCAGTGCTCAAACCTGCGGAAAACTACTGTCCTGCAGTCTCCTCGCAAGGCACAGCTGTCCAAAGCATGTATGGGCAATCTCCTGTCCTCTCTTATCCAGAGAGGTTCCAAGGAACTGGTCTACTCACTGATTCCTTGCTCTTTGCCACGGTCGTCAGCTCTGCTTTCACAGAGCCATCTTCAGTTCACCATACCTCCCCCAGAAGCCTCCACCAGAAATCATGTTCAGCTAGAGGGCA